CCCCACTCCATCCTTCACTCCCTCTCCCAGCCCCATTCCTGCTCCCATTGCTCGTCCTGGCTCCTCAGCCTTCTGCTCCCAATCCTAAGCACTGCACACAGCAGATCTCAGGCCAATGGCTCACATTTCACTGCTGCTTCCCTTTCCATACCACCTTCCAACCTTGGTCCCCTTGCCTACCTGCACCTCCATCTACTTTTCCTTCCAGACACTAATATCATCTTCTTCCTTAAATTTGATTCAGCCCGCGTCCTCAGAGACCATTAGTGTTTCTCCAAGTGGCCTTGGTCATCACCCAGAGCCAGGACATTCCTTTCCTTTTCTCCCACACTTCCTGACTCAGTTTCTCCACTCATTTTTTCCTCCCTGCAGCCTGGCCCCTCCACCAGCACTCTCTCCCACCACTGATCCCCCATTCCCTCAATTAAAGGATTATCACTCCCAGGGCATTTCAGCAGCCATTTTCAGTCTTCCTTTGGTTTCTTGGCCAATTTTAGTCTGTTCCTGAGCAGTGAATCCTGCCAGTTTCCCTTTCCCCACCCACTCCTGCTGCCAAGCAGTGCCATGCACAAGCTCTCCCTTCTCTCCCTGCCCCAGGCAGGCTCCTTCCCTAATCTGCAAATTCTCTTCATCAATCTGTGTTCAGCTCGGGAGGAGAGTGATGGAAGAAGACAATAAAGTAAAACAGACCCAAAACACAGCAGAACACAGTAAAAAGGATTTCCTTATCTCCAGTGAAGAACTGCAATTCCTCATGGGAGCTGTAAGGAAAGGAGCATTTAATCACAGGTTGAAGCATAACTGAACAGACCCAGAGGCACTGGGAAGCTTAACTGCACAAAGACAGRCCAGAAGATAAAAGAAATTACCACGGGCCTGCTTGCTTCAATTCAGCAAAGCTGTATGCAACTGGAAACTGATTTCCATGTGAAGTGAGAGGCAATGACAGCAATAACCCACCTACAACCTGCTGCTCTCTATGGCTGCCTGTTTTCTGCTGCATTTATCAGAAGAGCAACCTGCTCCTGACCAAATAAAGATAATCAAAAGAGGAACACTCTTGAAAAGCAGTCTTTTTACCTCTGAGTTCGAAGCTAAATATTTCAACCCGGCCTTTCAGAGGCCCCTCTGTTTCTTTTATCTTAAGGACTGAGGTAATTCTGGCAGTTCTACCCTGCACTTGGCACAAAAGGAGCGTTTCAGAGAGCACTTCAGCCTCTCTGCACTCTGCCCACCAGCAGAGTCTCAAATGCTTCCTGCTTCAAGWCCTCTCCAGCTCCAGGATCCTGCTGACCTAGACAAGGACAGGGATGCCACCCACCTATTTTAAATGTGGAGACAAAAACTGCTCTCCTGGACATTGGAAGCAAACACTCCAGACACTGCTGAGGAAGCTGGAATTTGGTTTTCACGGGAAACCCCACTAATCTGTCCTTTGGAGATTTCCACCCTGGGATCTCTCTGTTGGTCCCTGTTTCCCCCACACCCCTGGTCCATGATGTGTCCAGCTGATTGTTATCCAGCTCATCTGTTACCCAGATGGGGTGCAGCTGCTTATCTCCAGCAATCTGAGTCTCTGCTGTGAATTATGACCTCCACAACCTCGGCAGCAAGGAGATCTCATGTGAGGAGAGCAGGAGCTGCAGGGGCCTAAAACAAGTCTGAGGACAGGGGTTTGGAAAGACAGCTCATGAACACCTTCTGCTCCCAATCCTAAAAGACAACAAAAGGAAAGGAAAGGAAGAAAGGACAATAAAAGGACAGAAAGGACAAGAAAAATTTGCAGCGAGAAGTGAAAAGAGTTTCCCAGCTCYCGGTACTTTTCTTTAGGAACTACAAATGGAGACTTTAGATTTTTAAGGATTTTTGGTAAGGGGATGCCTCTWTGCCTGCACATTTCTGGGGAAGGGGGGGGTCTGCCTCTAGGACAGCATGGTCRTCATCAGTGATTGCAGACCCCCAGCACCTCCACTGCATAAATCCATCAAAACAGGCATGCATGTATCAAAGCTAGATTCACCACTGTCAGGATATGACACAGGCAGTCCCCAAATTATTTCAACGTTTAGGAGCCATCCAAATTCCACTTTTGGGTCATTGACTCCCCTTCACACTGAAGCTGCACTATTGCAAAGTGATGTGTTCTACACAAACCCAGTGATTATTCGCCTTTGGAAGCAATGACAGCCTTTTCCTTCCTCCTAGATGAGGATCTGCCAGTGAAGTAAATAAAGTTATTTGCAGTTGACCTAGCAGGTCTTGGCAGCYTGCACAGAAACACTGGCTTGTTTGGCAACAACACTCCTCACTTTGAATGATCCTGAGCAACTGAGGCATGTCAAGCTGGCAGCACTCAGGTGGAGCTTCTCTTTGGAGGAAAATATTTATTATTGCTGTTCTGATCCAGGTTAAGAACACACCTAACACTCATCCTCCTCTTCTCCTAGTTGTAGTATATTCAGRCTAGAAAAATGCATCTCAATATCTGCTATTTTGCTGCAGCCTTCTCCTCCAAACAAAGTTTGTGAAGAGTCTCAGTCATCAAATGTAACTTTGAAGTCTCACCTGGTGCCACACATTCAATTATTTGTGCTGTAAAGCACTGATGGAGATGTCATACAATGAATTTAGCTACTTCAGAACCCAGCTGCTTTTCCAGCGTATTTAAMTGGAAATACAAGTGAAAGCTGGTGCTGAGGATGACAGAAATCTGTTTGATCTCTTAATAAGATAATAGCTAAACAGCTTCTGAGCCAACAGGCACCACACATCCTGGCAGCTAGCGTGAACTGGAATAAAGGAAAGGGGTAAACTTAGCTCAGTTTCAGAAAGATTCTGGTGCTCTTCAAATGCAGAGTGATTAATTAGAGGTCAAAATGTCTTTTTTTTTTTAGTTTTGGTTCAAAACATTTGGATTTGATTGTTTTGTGCACTTGGAAACAAACTGAAGAAAAATCTTTATTTGAAATGAGAAGAAAGCAGGAAGGTTGTATTCAAAAACAATCATTGAAAATTAAGGAAATAAATGTTT